CGACCCCGATTGAAGGTCATGTATTTTATGACGTCACCAATTCGTGTGTAGGTACTGCTTCTAGATCTGTGCCAAGCACGCTACTACAAAAAGCCACAGTGTTTAAACCATTGCTCAATAACAAGGGCACGCAGCCATGGTGCATTCACTAATGTGATGTCATGGAAGGTAAAAAGAGCTTCCATGGTGATGTGAAGGCGAAGAGCTGACCTCACGATATACACATGGCTTGACTCTGTGATCAACAGTAATGACACAAGAGCTCTGTGCCCGAGATTCTCAGCCAACATACGGGTCTCAGCCAACATACGGGTTGAGAAACATCAAATGTCTTACCTTCTCTTATTGATGATTCAGAAATAGCGCGTTTGTATCCATCAGCTATTTGATGACCTACCTCGCTACGCCACAAGAGGGAGCTATTTAACAAGGAGGGTCCAAGCACTCTCGCACAGTCCGTCTATCCTCGGGGGCGGAGCGACGTTACAGACGTTCCACGTTGCTAGGACGCGCACCACTGTACCATGCATTTCTATGGGCTCTGTGCGCGCTGCTGTGGAACGCCGGTCGAGCCGGTGAAAATTCGAGAAAACAACACAAACTCAACTTTGAAGTAATCCCGAACAACCAAATTTATATATGTTACACACATAGGGCTAATCTTGTTACACTGTTCAGGGGAATCTCAACAATCATCCCAAAGTACCGTTTTCTGCGAGTTTTGGGCCTTTGTTTTCACCGCCGCGGGTTGCCAGGCGGTGAAAATGCCCGGATGTCCGCCCGTGGGGATAGTGGTCGAAGAAACATTTTGTAATTATTGAAGTTGCACATGTCCAGCAAAAATATGAAATAAACAACAACACTTACATGGCTTTCCTGGAGACTTGAGGCCGAAATCAACTAAATTTCGCCTTTGCACAGTGGCCTGTTGATGAAGTGATGACACCTGCGCCATGCAGTGTTAGCAAAAAAAACGCTCACTGCATCATTTTGAAAAACTGATTGACAAGAAACATTTTTTGTGAGCCCTAAAGTGGAGAAAAATGCTCAGACCTGAGTCGCCAGATTACCAGTAACGTTTTTGTCTGCGAGGCAGCGCCACCAATGTTTAAAAACTAGAACTTTTTTCGTTTTTATTTTGAATGCTCGAGTTACAGTGCCACTGACGTTCATTGTAAGACATACTTTTGTTTTTATCACCTTCTTGAACCGTTGTGTATGGCGACGCCAACGTTTGTGCTAACATTTCGTTCGTTTTAATGCGAGAGTTCGTCTGCGAGGCAGCGCCACCAATGTTTAAAAACTAGAACTTTATTCGTTTTTATTTTGAATGCTCGAGTGACAGTGCCACTGACGTTCATTGTAAGACATACTTTTGTTTTTATCATCTTCTTGAACCGTTGTGTATGGCGCCGCCAACGTTTGTGCTAACATTTCGTTCGTTTTAGTGAGAGAATTCGTCTGCGAGGCAGTGCCACCAGAGTGACAGTGCCACTGACGTTCATTGTAAGACATACTTTTGTTTTTATCACCTTCTTGAACCGTTGTGTATGGCGCCGCCAACGTTTGTGCTGACATTTCGTTCGTTTTAGTGAGAGAGTTCGTCTGCGAGGCAGCGCCACCAATGTTCAAAAACTAGAATTTTATTCGTTTTTATTTTGAATGCTTGAGTGACAGTGCACCGTCAACGTTTGTGCTAACATTTCGTTTGTTTGAGTGTGCGCGCAATGAACGTTTTACTGCCAACTGCGTTCACGAATGCATTTTTTCGTTTTTATCAAAAAATCGATATTTCACAGCAGCGTTACCAAAACTTGTTGAAACAAAAAAAAAATAAGTATCAATTTTGGTGTGCGCCACCAACGTGTCGTATATATAATGTATTTGTTTTTGCACGGCGCATTTGATCATGATTACAACGTGATTGTTTCTTGTTTTCAATCATTTCCAAGTCCATACCCCGGTCCATACGCGAGGTAAATTTGTTATTTGAAGCCTGGTAAGATTATTTAGGTCTCACATTTATTTATAGCAGGCAACTTTGCTTTTTGATAAACATTTTGCTCGAATTTAACGTTTATGCAGCAGACGACACCTCACACACTTCTGGCCAAAAAAGGCGAAGCCAACTTCATGGGGGTTTGTCATTTTTTGTGTGAGAAGTTGCTCGGTGATCATATTGTTTATCAGGATTTTGTGAACAGCAGGATAAAATGGAGCTACATGTTAGACATCACCTTCTGTGATATATTTGTGATATATTCCGTTTGCAGTCAGGTTCTTTTTTTGGAGGGGGGGGGGAGTATTTCGGCCAAGCATTAAATAATTATATTTTAATATCAAATTATAAATAACTAAAAGTTTCGTTCTTATTGTAGCCATGGCCAATATGAGGATATTAACTGTAGTTGAGAAAACGATGTTTTATTTTCCAGTGAATGGCAGCCATTTTGTCAGTGCGTGTACGGTGGAGATAAGAAGACTAGTGAGAGCACAGGGATAGGAAATTACTGTTTTTATTACAAAATTGTTCTCACTTGATCCAAGTGGATAAACAGTACAACTTTCTCTTCTACATTTAAAAGTGGTAAATTGTTTTGAGCAACAACACAACATCCTGGATTGAAATAAATAATTTTCGGATTGATGAGCTGTGTGGATGGGATGGTCACTACAGTTACAAAACGCATGTATGCTGTGACAACACGTAACCTGTGATGGGGCTGCAGAAAAAAACACCTAAAACTTGCAAAATTTAGTTACTGAAACTTTATTAAAATAATAATTTTTTTTATTCCACATAAGCAAACTCTGCTGGTAAAATTCTACAACTATATAAAGGTAGGTATGCTTCCCCATAAATAAAAATAATCAATGAAAATAATATTAGTCTAAAATCAGCCCAACACCGTATTGTATATTGATTCATACAATATACTATGAAATTTATTATTTATAATGAAATGCAAGTACTCTCAATAGTTAGAATCAGAATTATTCTGCATATAAATGAGGTAGGATTATTGCAAATAATAAACATAATATACACAAAGTGGTTGCAACTTTGTTTACTTCTATTTATTACAGAAGAATTTCAAATCAAATAGTTTGTAAGTATACCTTAACCTCAACACATTTCAAATTTGGCATAGATATTAATTTTAGCCATAGTTGCACTCTGAGACTATTAAAAGAGCTTTATTGGGGTTAGGTATTATTATATGAAAGATTGTGGGAAATGTTTTCAATTTATTTAATTAATGAATTTCCTATGCTATTGCTTGAATATTGTTCCAGTGTGTTCCTGGACATGCAGTTTTTATCTCCTGTGCGAGGTAATGAGTTTTGTGTCAGTGTTTTAGTCTGCTTGCCTGTGTAACCAAAATTTCAAAAACCTCTGGGTGGATTTCATCAAATTTGCTATATTGGTATATACTGAACATGTGCTGGTTGTTGATCAGTATCGCTAATGCCAATGCTCTTTCACTGACTGTTGTGAATTTTCATTCATCTATTCTGTATTTACACAGGAGCCTTGCAGAGTTTAACTTGATCACATACCATAGTTCACGTTCATTTGCTCAACAGAAATATATTTTTTTATTTAATTGAATTCAAATCGTGCTACATGTATGCAATGCATTATGGGAACTTACTAAATCAAATGTCAATTCTTTGAAATTTTAATAATACCGGTATATAAAAAAAAATTGAGATATGAAGGAATAATCTCATTACAGAAACCAGTGTAAAAATGACCATTTTATATGAAGTTTAGTCGACACTAAAAGTTTATTTTACATTTTCTGTATTCTGATTACATGTACCCACAATAATGGAAGCATGTTGAATATGACAAATTATCTTCAATTCAGCAAGAACTTCCTTAAAACAAATACAGGAGAGTGCATTCTTATTGATAAACATTGTTTTGGGGTTAGATAAACCATGGCCATGGATCAACTGATTCAGTACAACAATTGACTGGAAGTAGCTGTGTAATGACTTCATGTACAGACATGCCAATTGGTTTGCAAAGTACTATTTTCAAGATAAAATATACCGATATATACAATGATCAGGACGCATAATGGTTTTGCAGGTATGCTGATATAAGATAAAGGTCTCATAGAATGCATGCATAATTAAAATAAAGAATTCTATATATAAATGTAAAAAAATAAACTGATTAAAAAATGTGCTACCTCTAATTGTGAAATCAAAAAATAACCAAATCAGGTGTGTTTATTTAATAAGTAAATGAAAAACAAGAACTACCCTCAGCTGCGATAGTTATTTAAGCATTGGCTTAAATTGGCAAATAATAAACAGAAGAAACACAACAGCATCAATCTAAAAGCAAATAATATAATTATTGAATATGATATTTAAAATATGCATGTACGGCAATAAACTGTACTAAACAAACATTTAAAAATGTTTTAATTAAAATAAAGCTATATGAACAATCTCTCCAAATTGCACCTTTAAGCAAGTGCTTTCCAAGAATTCTGAATGTATCTCTGGTTTATAATCTCTTAAATAGGTGTCATTTTTCAAATATTTCAATCTTTCCTGACACCTAGATTAAAGTCTAATGTAGGTTTTTCGTAGTCACTGACGTCTATTCAAGAGTAAGATGTTTATTGTGGCTAGCGTGAATGGGTAAACTGCATTTTGACAATGAGCTGTTATCAGCATAAAAAAAGAGTAAAATGCTTCTTCAATGCTCAGTTATCTTTTTAAAAAACAACTAATTTCTTGATTAAATGTGATTAAACTTTTTTGGAATGACTAATTTCTCAACATTTTGTGACGTCTCTTTTAGAATCAAATTAAGGCCTTTCACTCTTCCCTGATTCCTGAATTAGAGTGACGCCTATTCAAGAAATTATGTGGTATGTAACCTTTTTTTTGAACTAGCCCACTTCAGAAAAAATTATAATTTTTAAACAACATTAATGTCATGGTAAGGTTGCCCAAGAAATTATATATAGCTCAATTTTTAGCAGTACTCCAAAGTGATAAACAGATGAAAGAACAGACATAATATGTAAACACCAAAATAATCATTGATTATTTAGTTTTTCCAATGAGTCGTAAAATGTGGTCACAGAACTGTCTGACAGCACCACACCCACCACGATTAGTCGCAGTAAAACGTGCAGCATAGCGTGCTTCAGTTTGGCCATCAGCTGGTGCCGCTCCAAGACCGGATTTTCTCATAGCGGGCACATCACTCACATCATTGCCTGAAATACAATAGATGATTCACAAATCAATTTGTCACCACACTATTCTGAATGGAAACGCTAAGAAATTTATGGGAATTCTCACTGTACCACAAAGGATATTTAGTCTAGAAGATTGTTTGTATATTTTAATTTGGAAATAAATAACCTGAATACCAAAAAAGCGTCATATCATATTTTATGTAGTCAATATTGACAGTGACATGGGTTGTAATAGACTTTATATTCTAAAATAATTGAAAGATAAATTGTCATTCAGGTATAATTGCTTATAGTTTCACTTTATTCAACTATGTTGTGTGCGAGGTTATGTCGGAACTATGATCTCCAGTGTACTCCTGAATAGTGTAAAATGACTAATTTTCTCTGGGTTTAAATTTCGCTGATTAACCATTTTAGGTTAGTTTTATCATTTAGATAATGTGTTCTATGCTAAATTTTACATATTCACTGGGTTTTAGTTTAGTGCATTTTCCAGTCAGCGAAATAAGCAAAATTAAAACCAAGTGAATAATTAACCCTTTTTATAACACTGCTGAATAGTGTTACTTTGCTAGTGAAGCAGCTTGGCAATACATGTTTAATGCTTGGCAATACATGTTTAATGCTTGGCAATACATGTTTAATGCTTGGCAATACATGTTTAAAACTTGGCAATACATGTTTAAAGCTTGGCAATACATGTTTAAAGCTTGGCAATACATGTTTAAAGCTTGGCAATACATGTTTAATGCTTGGCAATACATGTTTAATGCTTGGCAATACATGTTTAAAGCTTGGCAATACATGTTTAAAGCTTGGCAATACATGTTTAATGCTTGGCAATACACGTTTAAAGCTTGGCAATACATGTTTAAAGCTTGGCAATACATGTTTAATGCTTGGCAATACATGTTTAATGCTTGGCAATACACGTTTAAAGCTTGGCAATACATGTTTAATGCTTGGCAATACACGTTTAAAGCTTGGCAATACATGTTTAAAGCTTGGCAATACATGTTTAATGCTTGGCAATACATGTTTAATGCTTGGCAATACATGTTTAAAACTTGGCAATACATGTTTAAAGCTTGGCAATACATGTTTAAAGCTTGGCAATACATGTTTAAAGCTTGGCAATACACGTTTAAAGCTTGGCAATACATGTTTAAAGCTTGGCAATACATGTTTAATGCTTGGCAATACATGTTTAATGCTTGGCAATACATGTTTAATGCTTGGCAATACATGTTTAATGCTTGGCAAGACATGTTTAATGCTTGGCAAGACATGTTTAATGCTTGGCAAAACATGTACACTTTTCCGTTTGTTCTATCAGTGACATGGTATTGATTTATTTATTTACTGCATCTGGTACATGCTAACAAATTTTAAAATTAAGAGCTGCTCGAAATAAATTAGGAGAATACAATATTAAGCAAACACACAAGACTATGCCATTATTAAAGCATGGGTGGCAACTTGCAGCAAAATACATTACAATTTGTGATAATATACAAACAACCCTGGATGGGGTGGGGTGGGGTGTGGTGGGATGGGGTAGAGTGTGATGGTAAAGGGCTACATTACAAGGATAAATGTGATCCTTCTAATTATTGTGAATGTTTTCCAATGTGGGATATAACAATGAATGTAATTATGTTCCAAGCCCAAGTGTACCACAAGTTTTAAGAAACAGGAGCTCAGGTCAGATGAACCCAAACAGATCTTTGGATCAGTTGAACCATAAGAATGATTATGTTGAACTTCAGCTCACCATGCACCATCAAATATTTTGATATTACTGTAAAATGACTAATTTTCACTGGGTTTAAATTTCGCTGATTTACCATTTCAGGCATATTCAGTGGGCTTTAAATTCACGGTTTTATCATTTAGACAATGTTCTATGCTAAATTATGTTGGGATGTACATATTTCACAAATAAGACAAGCAGCTCTTGACTAAGAATTTAAGATATTGAAGATATCATCACAAAATCAACAAATTTGCGAGAGGTCCACCTGTAGTACCTTTATGTATAACATCAAGTCAATCAGATTGAACAAATCTGAGAGGTTCACCTGTAGTACCTTTATGTATAATATCAAATCAATCAGACTTGTAGATTTTAACAAGAATTCGAAAATATCATGTTTTACCAAAAATTACAAAAATATTCATCAGAAGTAGAGATATTGAGGATATCGTCATGAAATTGACAAAACTGAGCGAGGCCCACCCAATGTACTTATATATCAATACAATCGGACTTGCGGTTTAGCAAAAATATCAATCAAAATTTATAAATTGAGGCTATCTGCCTAAAACAAACAAATCTAAAAAAAGGTCCACCCTTGGACAAGTACCAAACCAATAGGACTTGCACTTTTCAGGAAGAAGTCAAAAGTTGACGTGATGACAATAAGTAATATGACTAACTCAGGTCACCAATGGAGCTAATAAAGATTGTTTGTAAATTGACACCTACCCATAAATGTGACCTGTGACCACTTCAAACCCATCTCATCGACCCACTTAGTAAGAACTTCAAGTTTATCTTTCACATTAGTTTCAACCTGGCACCCTGTCTTCTCTGTGATAACCTTTATTCCTGCTGTGTTTTTAGCTTCTGATACAAAGCGTACTTCAATGCCTGCTTTCTTTAGTAGCTCTGTACCTTCCAGGTCACTGCAGTTATAGGAACGAAACTCTTCACCTACAGATCACAATAGTATATACTTTCTTAAAGCTTGGATATAGTAAAACACATACATACTTGGTGCCAGTGTTCGTCTAAATCTCAATTTTGAACAATTAAAAAATGATGATATCCAATCAGTCACAACTATGAATCATTGGTAAAAAAATAAAATTATAATTATTGAGTGGTTGAATTATTCAGTGGGTTTTAGTAACATGGAATTCAAAAATGTCAGCAGTGTTAATTTTAAACAGAAAAGTGTAGAACAAGTAACTAGTTTTATTTCTTGTAAATAAGAAAGCTTAAAAAGAACTCCCATATGCTGAGGGTATTGGAGGCATTGAATAGAGAAAATATTTTTGAGATATCATAGGAACAACAAAATTTTTTATGCAGATTAGGTAATTAATATGCATGGTTGCCACAAAAAAATGTATCTTGAAGAACCTATGTGCCATTTTTCATTGAAATCTTTTTAGTGGTTATGAAAAATCAGTGGAATAGCTGAAAAAATGGCTATTATGCAAATTAGGTAATTATTATGGATACAGTTCAACCAAAACATACACACCATCATACATAACGACATAACTACATACATACAGACAGACAGACAGACAGGGTAAAAAAACTCACTGTGTTCTCAGACAGGCTTCAAAAACAAAACAAATGGAATATTATGTGTAAAACAGAAAAAATAAATTAAAAGTTCTGGTCAATTTGTTTTCCCAAAAAATTTTTTGTTTGTATTTCCATGAAAATCTCAGGAAAAAATGCTATGCACACACAATAGTCAAAAACAATATTTTCTCCTTAGAATTATCTAATTGATATAGGAATATATAATTTCCCCTACTTCACAAAATACAGTGATAAATTTTTCCTACATTCGACCACCTAATTATTTTGCAAATTTTTGGAATTTATTGGTTTCTGAAATTTTGACCGATCACTGAATTGTGCTGTTTTTAGTTCTCTAAAATTTTGTACACCTCAGATCTATCTTCTGGTTCAACTCTAATTTAGGCTTTAAATAATGAAAACAGAAACCATTGAACTGACCATACTTGGTGTTGGAGACACTGGAAGAATCACACAATATCACACAAATGACCACCTACTGTTGATTACACAAAAAATAACTTACTTTTCTAAGGTTCTAGCAACATTGCATATTATTTAATCATGGTTCGTTTCAAAAAATATTTCTTTTGTTTGCTATGAAATATATGTGAACTTCATGTTCATTTTATTGTGGAAGCACGGTCGATTCTGTATAAATGCTGAAATCCGCCATTTTTTTTTACAACACAGGTTGACGTACCATGGTGTCCTCTGACCAGATATACCAAGAATTTCATTAACCAATTAGAATACTGCATGATACTACCAATCTATTCAGATGATGACAAAAAACGCATCTCGGAAGTAAATTTTGTTATTATCGATGTTGAAGTACAACCTGTTGGCATTGGTTTCACTGCCTGGTGTTTTTTAAAGAGGTTCTAAGGACTTTTTAAAATGTAAAACAAGTACTGAAAGAGAGTTAACATCTTTCATGATAAAAAATAGATTGTATTTTGCATATTCAAGCAATAAATCTTTTCTACTAACTCAGTCATATTCAAAATCTGTTTTTCTTTTAGCCATGAATATCGCGGATGTTTTGACCAACATTTTGCTTTCTGATAACAAATGTATGTAGGGGTACTAATGATTTTTACTCTAAAAATTAAACCAGTTCAAAATTTCTTACTTTTATTCTAAAAACTAATTATTTACAATTTTTATTATACTAGGGTTTCAATAAATAAAATATTTCATTCAGTTTCAGCATGTTTTGTGGCATTTTACGTATATGATGTGAAGTAATGAAATACTGTTCTAGTGTAGGATTTTGCACATACTGCATTGGACCTAATAAGAAAATGACTGAGCAAAAAAGATCTACTCTTGACATTTGAATCAACTGAAGACATTGGTAAATAAGACATGTACCTTTATCAGTAATATGCACCTGATTATCAGTGACAACACCATCAATATCAAATACCGACAGTTTGATGTCTTTTCTCTTCTCCGTTCCAAAGTAACCAAACTTTGTGACTCTCTGCTCAGCAATTGGCCAATCTAGATCAGTGTCAATATCCACGCTATACTGGGGTTCCATTTCATAATATCCAATTCTACACAGAAACAAATTGACAATTGTGGTAAGAATATTATTTATCTTGACCTCCTCAGAATATTACCGGGTAATAACCAGCCTAGAATGTATGAGGCATGCAAAAATATCAGTATTCACCTGTGGCTAATCGTGATAACAATAAGATAACACCTGACTAAGGTAGTGTGATATGATTTCTACACTTACTTTCCTCCCTGTATAAGCCCCTGATCAAGTAATTCTCTAGTGAACATATAAAATTGTCCATTTTCAAAGAGTTCACCATCCCAGTCTTGGCGTCTTGGTCGGTTCTTTGGATCTAAGTTTTCAGCCTTTGTTTCAGCACCTACAGGAATTACAGCAATGTTTGTATACGAACACCTACACGAATTAAGGTAACGTTAGTATATGAACATCTCCATGAACTACAGCAGAACATTAAACAAGCAGAATTAGAGAATTGAAGATATCATCATGAAATGAACAAATCTAAGAGAGGTCTACTCAAGGTACATATACACCAAGTATCAAAGCATTCAGGCTTGTAGTTTTCAAGAAGAAGTCGAAAAAGTAAAACATTGACACGGACGACGACGACGGACAATCATTCATATGATAAGCTCCGCTTGATAAAGTTGACAGCGGAGCTAAAAACTCCTGTATATATGAACACATCAAATACAATAAAGTTAATACTTATCTCACCGTTCTTTGCCTCTGTCCACCTAAATAAATGTTTTCTAGTAACACCAAAGACCGAATCATAGCCTTCATTTCTAATCATTCTGACTGCTTCTTGTAACATCCATGGATGTATAAGAGGAGAAGTACATTGAATAATAGATATAATATCTATATCTAGAAGAGAAAAAATCAACAAAGAGTGTTAGGTAAAATTCATACTGAAATATTTTGTTGACATTGATGTGCATTAACAACTATAAAATTATATGTATAACCAAAAAAAATGTGAAATTATTTTTTATGCTGATGAAAGTATTTATAATGCATATTTATTAAAAACATATTAACCAAAAAATGTGAAATTATTCTTTATGCTGATGAAAGTATTTATAATGCATATTTATTAAAAACATATTAACCAAAAAAATGTGAAATTATTCTTTATGCTGATGAAAGTATTTATAATGCATATTTATTAAAAGCATATTAACCAAAAAATGTGAAATTATTCTTTATGCCGATGAAAGTATTTATAATGCATATTTATTAAAAGCATATTAACCAAAAAATGTGAAATTATTCTTTATGCCGATGAAAGTATTTATAATGCATATTTATTAAAAGCATATTAACTAAAAAAAATGTGAAATTATTCTTTATGCTGATGAAAGTATTTATAATGCATATTTATTAAAAGCATATTAACCAAAAAATGTATTTATTTTATATTGGATCATTAAAATTTGTCTTATTTTGACAATGCCTAAGCACACACTTTTCAATTTTGTTAATTCATATAGTAGTATGGTATAACAAAGTTGACTATTGTCACTTACCAGGATGACGATCTGTGAACTCAAGGATTGTTTCCATAGCAGACGATGTGTCTCGTGCAGCTTCAGGGTTTCTATTGTGAATCTGTGCACCCCATTCTGAAGCAATACGTGCTATTTCTGGATGGTCTGTACTCACCCAAATACTGTCATAAACTAAGAAAATAAAGTATGCACCTAAATTAATATTTGTTTGTGTTATGCGAGAATTGATTGTACATTGCAAAAATGTTAATTATATACAGTGGAGAGAACAATCCCATGTTTCTATTTACGGCATAAGAACATTTATTAATTAATAGTTACTAGCAGCTTCACAATGCATGGCTTTTGTGCTAAGTGGATTTTGTAGCGGGTAGTTCGATTCTTTCATCTTTGTCGAGAATTAAAGTTTTATGTGTCTTTAACAATATTCTGGGAATACCATCCTTGGGAGCTGTTAATTTGCCCTTATAATTTGTGCAGTTGCTCTAGCAGGAGTTCTTAAATAAGACCCTTGCTCTGATAATGCCCCTAGTTTTTTAGAAACATTTGACATTTGACCATTTATAGAATGGTTTTGCATCATGCATTCTTTTTATACTGCTTAGAGACATACTGTATTGAGTAATGATCTTATTTGTGTTTCTGAAGAATAGTTGAATATTGTTTATTGAAATTATTAATCCTCAGAACAATTTTCCAATATAGATAAGAAATCATGGTATGAAACAAATGTATAACACATTCTCAGCAATGAAATAAAGAAATGTATATATATGTTTAGATATAACGTTTCGCCAATTTAAAACAAATATTTTTTATGAGAATTATTTGAATATCGTTTGTGTTCCCCTGTACAGACAAGCTTTAACTAAACTTCGATTCTCTAATCATAAGTTACACATTGAGACTGGTAGATATTATGGAACCCCAGTGGAAAATAGAACCTGCCAAATATGTATAGATGCTGTGGAAGATGACTCATTTTCTGGTAGTTTGTCCAGCAAATAACCATATTCGAAAACCGCTTTTTGATCGAATTAACCGCATTGAACCACAATTCGAGTTCCTCTCGCCTATCAGTAAACTTACATATATTTTTTCTCAGGATAACCATGAAATCATCCAAATTCTAGCAAGATTTGTATACACTGCTTTTCAGATTAAATATAATTTGTTAGTGCGAGTTCTCCAATAGATGAGTTGTATATGTGTGTGTGTATATATATATATATATATGTATAATACTTTATTTTATTGAGGCGATTAAAGTCACGCCTGTAAATTTCGCATTGTAACCTGTTCCCCCAGGTTAGTGGGGTATATTGCTTTAGAGAAATGGAAATAAAATAATAATAATATAACTAATTAAAAATGAAAGAAATTGCAAAATAAAATATTCCATCTCGAGGGCGTATTTTGTGGTCAGTATTATTTACGAAAACATTTGTTCACAGTTTTATAAACTGGCTTGGCAATTCCTACTACTAATTCTAGATAAAATGTGTACATATTTGCGGGCAGTGTTGTTTACAAAAATATTTGTTCACAGTTTTATAAACAGGCTTGGCAATTCCCACCACCAATTAAATAAAATACAAATGCATGTACATATTTCCATACATACAGGTACACTAACAAAAATGAAATTTTAATTAGAGGATTTATTATATAACCTGGACAAAAATCAATACTTTTCTTTGCCATAATGATGCATTTTACCTATCTGTGTAACTTTATGTGGAAATCCTAATAAATGAGATTTTAAGTTCACAACTGGCGATTTAGCAATATTAGGGATTGTCAACTTGTCCATGTTGGCTGCAGGATTTTGTAAAAAAAAATATTGTATACACTGACATTTATTTTGTAGTTACATATTATGTATACCATAGGATCCATAGTATCTTTTTCTTACTGATTTGACTACATTGTGTTAACGGCACGATTCCAGCGATGGCAACATGACAACCACCAAAACGTAATTAAAGGCAAATAAACACAGGAAGCATAAAAAACTGTTTCACATCATAGCATAAAGTACAGAACTGAACCATTGTTTATTCTTGGGGGGAATAGAAATTACTCGCTTCTGGGGCATCATAATAAGCAAGGGTGAAAACCATGTTTATGCTATGAAAAAGTGAGGACCTTAAACATACTTATATGTAACACTTGTTCTGCAAGTGAGAGTGCACATACCAAAGCGGCCGTCCCTCAGCAAATGATTTAGCCCCGTAATGATTAGTTGTTTTACAACGTGACACCCTTATTGAAACCCTCATTTTCTTTATATTTATAAATACCAATAAATTTCACACAATTCAAAGTGAAACTGCCCTATAGATTTCTATTGGCAGATTGAACAACATTGGAACGTTCATGAACAGTGTATGCGTTGATCAACTGCTTTGATTAAACTGCCATTAAAAATATGATTCATAGATATAGAAACATTAGTAGATTTAGCAATATTTGACAATTTTCCAAACACAAATAGCGCATTTTAATATACTATATCAAACTTGATTATTGCGGTTCCATTTGAGAGACATTTCATGGTGGGTCAAAAAAGGTGGGAATGAGGTGTACGTGTATGTATTAACAGTCGGAGCACAGGGGTGGACTTTACCCGATGCACTGTGGTATTAGTAAATCATTTACCGGGGGTACACATTTTATAATAATTTTGACAACGGTACTACAATTGTCAAAAGACAGCGTGTGAAATTTGAATTTGAATAAAAATCCTGAATAAAAGTATGGTGCTATAGACTTGTACAAATTTATAATCATTCAGTCGTGTTTTGTATTTAAGTACAGGCGATGTAGTGCTGTGGTCGTTGATAATTGTTCAACTAATCACAAGTGTAGTTCTTGCCTATTTTTCTCTTTCTTTGGTTTGACTATTAGGAGTACATATTCACTCCAACTTATCCAGCAGAGTTTAATCCTGTTGAACTGTTTTAACTTTACACCCTAATTTGCGAGGCAACAGTGTCATCAACTTGAATTTTGGGAGTAGGCAAAAGTCCTGCTGTCAACTGTCATTGGCATTTTGAGAAAGTATAAAACAATTAACATGCAACCAGTTTTTACCCACGACATATTGACAATCGAAACACTACTCCTTTCACTAATATGAATGTTTGATGGACAGTCAACTGATTCAGTCTTGGGAAATATTATGCTCGTTTTGAATCAAACAGAACATTAGCATTTTTATAGAAGTTCAGTTTATTCTTGTACACAAATTAGTACAACATGTTTGAGACTAATTATTATTTAGACATTATTTGAAACAATTTCGGGTTAATGGGTGGTAGTCGTTGCGCCACGCATGCGCGAGATATATGGGTCTCATATAAACAAAGATGGCGACTTTGACTGTTGCACAGATGTTGAGTACGAACTGAGACATTTCCAAGCTTTAATTATGGTAGGTATTTTTCAGGTGATTGGAAGGTATCGAAGGAGTCACTGGCGGTATTCAGTGCAAGTCACACCCAGGTCAAAACTCATACTCTTGATTTTCATTGGATTGTGGGAAAATCAATATTTATTAACACAAATGACGACCACTGCCTTTTAATATTTTATGTAAAGGACCCTTGCTGATTACCGATTACTGATCTGTAATTAGCGAAAAGAACCATTTACTGATTTAAATTCAGCCTTTTTTGGTAAATGCTTTATATAAACCGGTAGTTCATCGAATATAATCCAATAAACAACAAAAGTTCTTCAATGTTGCCAGGGATTCAACAATGCGGGGGGAGGGTCACCATTGGAAATTCCTGAAGCCCCATTGTGATGTGAGAAAGTACAGTTTCTTCCTACAAAATATTAATGTGTGGAATAGTTTATTGAGCCATGTTGTTATGGCAACATCTATGAACATGTTAGAAATAGACTGGATAGGTGGTTGCATGTAAATAATTATCGCTAAACCTTTTGGCTTTTTTGAAACAGGGTTTGTGACATGTGTAACAAAGGTCTAATTGAGGATGAAATGCATTTTCTGCTGGAATGCAACAAATATAATGAGTTGCGTGCCAAACTGTTCAATAAAGCTAAGGATATGATCCCAGCATTTGAAAATAAACTTGCAGAGAAAAAATTCATGGAATTGTTACAGAATGAAAACGTTATTATACCAGTAGCACAGTTCATAAGTAAAAGCTTTGAAGTCAGGAAGCAGGGTCTCACTTGACATCTTAATGCCTGCTGTCAATTTAGTAATTTTATATTAGTTAGTATTTTAGAGATTTTGTATTATTTAATAATTTAGTGATTGTATTTGTTATTTAGTATATTGTGTTTTTGTTTTATTTTTTATATACATTTTTCTCCTTGTACTTTGTGACCATTTTCTTTCCCTCCGGGGATTGTGTAAGAGTCAATAAGTAAATAAATAATATGGTATGGTATGTTGTTAAATACACAACTGAAAGGCGAATATACTAGTCAAGTTTTGTCAGACAGTTGTGAATATTTTATGCGTAGGACTCTTGTTTCTCTGGTTACACTTTAATAATCTTCCTATGTAGCATTTTGCGTGTTACATACGTTTGAAAATGAATGTATTTATTTAGTCTGGTAAATCATGGAGCTTATGTTAGCTCCATGTGTAAATTAAGCCACGTAGACTTTAATACTCACCATTGGCGTCAACGGCTGCCCGTAAAGCCCATGATATTAATGGCTGTCCAGCTAGAATTTTGATGTTTTTCAGCGGAATGCCTTTGCTACCGCCCCTAGCACAGATTAGTGCGGCGAAATGGCGTTTGTCCTCTCGAATGTCGTTTGACACGGACGACCGTGTCCTTTTTGGTGGGCTGCTCATAACGAAATCTGTCACTGAAAATATCCGCAATTACAATGTAAATTTAGTCGTTGTTTAATATATGGCTAAGTACAACACCAATCCACGCCCAGGTGTTGTATCTGTTCCACTCAATCTCTGACAACACACGACATGACATACGATCGCGATGAGCGAGTGTAACTGAGGTCGAAGGTGAGAGTTCATACTATAAATGTTTGTGTAGTATAAATATTAACTTTGCAAGATAAATTTGGTGATTCCCTGAATTGAAGAATGAATGTAGTCTTTATACATTTCTTCAGGAAACGGGAAAATAACAGATTGTTAACATGAAACGTGGCATCTCTTTGAATTTCTGACGATCATGCGTTTGCGCCACCAGTGAGAGTTTCGCGTCAGTTTCCTTGAAGACGACAGAGGGCGCCCAAGCAATTTGCACAGTCCTTGTCAACACGTCAAATCAGGAGCTCTGTCTTCACCACTTCCGACCAGTTAATTATTCCCATATTCGGAGCTACGTCACGATCCCCAGACGATGCCTTGACCAATCACAAACATAAACAGACAACGGTTTTCGAATTAACACCCCTGTTTCCCGAGTCTCTATCATGATGGCAGATACAAGGCGACATCAGGGATTAGAACATATTTTAACTGTGAGAAGGGAGTGAGCTAGGGCTGTCAAATTGTATCGAATATTACAATACATTTGTTTCTTTAAGATATTTGTAATAATGTTCTTTTTCCTGAAATAGACAACAAACACATTAAAACGCTGCTCGGTATAAACAATGAAAGGCTGTTCTTTAGTTTATAAACATATTTACAAAAGTTTGTCATTAGCTTTAATTATTCAATGGCAAAGAACCCGATGCAAGCGAATTGAATCTAAAATTACATTTCTGGCATACACACACACACACACACACACACACACATATATATATATATATATATATATATATATATATACATGTATATGTCTATTGCAATACAATTCAACTGACAGCCAGTTTAACGCCACAATATCTTGCTGGAGTTCTTCGCGCGATTTTATTACGTTCAAAATTGTTCCATTTGAAACTGCGCATGCACACACACTGTGGTTTCTCGAAATGCATACTAATTAGGTAACTTGTCACTGACACTGACAACATTTTGAGCAATAGTACTAGAGTGAAATATAAACAAACGTGCCTCTACATTCTCCATGAATTTCGTAACTTGCTATGATCAGAGTAAAGTAAAAACCTGTGGTTACTTCAACAGTTTGCTGGAGTCTGATCGAAATCGTCTCTGAAAAAAACACCTGTACATCAGTTTTTCGATTATTCTTTCAGTTCGTAACAGTAGAATCAGTCAGTTTAGAACTATCATCCATGCTATCGGAAAGCATTTTGGCACAATTCTACTGAAAAGGCATGTTTTTCATTGCTCATGAATATCAATTTATGCAAATGAGACGATTATTTCGACCAATCGTGTCATGATGGCAGATACAAGGCGACATCAGGGATTAGAACATATTTTAACTGTGAGAAGGGAGTGCTCTGGAGCTGTCCAATTGTATCAAATATTACAATACATTTGTCTTTAAGATATTTGTAATAATGTTCTTTTTCCTGAAATAGACAACAAACACACACATTAATACATTAACATATATATATATATGGATAGGTGGGAGGGTGAAAATAACCCAAACAGAAATGACTGGGCACGAACAGCGTGCGATGTAAACAAGTGCATGTAAAGCACACGAAGCAAATGGCCTACAATAACCCACGTGACAATAACCATGAGCAATGAGCAGTGGAGAAATGAAACAAACGAACGAAGTCTATGCAAATGAAAAGTATGCAAATGATAATTAACAATTTTGAACTGCTTACAAAATACAATCATTCAAATTCAAGTACTATTCAATAATGATATAGAAACTGTGACCGTCCACCTAATTCAAAATTATAACTCGCGACGATTGTCGGAGTATTTTCTGAGTCATTTATCTGAAGCATTGTAATTGAAACATGCAATATTTGTTAATCGCTTTATTCATTACGTTTTATACAAGTTCAATAATATTCTGACTTACCATGCATTGTTTCAAAATACGGATTCTGAAGTCTTACGACCAAGCATTTTGGTACAATTTTACTGAAAAGGCAAGTTTTTCATTGAGACGATTAGTCCCATGCTGTCGAATATGGAATCAGCTGGATATCGCTGTGGATGTGCACGAGAAGAAGGCTTCAGCGGAGTAACCTTGTTATGCTATGCCGTGACATAACTATTAATTTATTTATTTGTAGCAACAATATAATTTTAAATCAGGGGCTCGCCAATAAAAGTAAATAGAGGAATAAATCAATTAGGACCAGCAAAACAAATTTCAGAAAGTACACAAATTACAAAAAATTGGTTCAACAAGTATTTAAAATTTACACATATGATTTTCTTCATTCAACTGTATCAACGAGGAATTGCTTAAACATGTTATCTATTTTCTACAGTGTTCAAGACTGTAGCCCTGGCTATTGTTCCCAAGAGAGAAAATAATAGCTCACTGCCCATCTTTCCAAGTGTTCAATTCATTATTATTAAAATGTTCCATTGTTTCAATACCTTTTCCGTAACATGGACACGTGCGATCTTCTACATCATTCTGTCAATTTCCTTTTTCCGTATGCCAGACCTAGGGTATATGATCTTGCTTTATGGCTGCTAGACAAACGGCTTCCCTGACTGAAGGATTGAATCAACCCATAACTTATATAAAGCTTCCGTGTTCCACAATAGTGTAATTGAAAAATTCAATTCTTACCCATACGTTGAACTACTTTTATCTGGCGTTGCTTCTTGGAATAGGGTAAAAATAACTCACTGAGAAAACAAGAAAAAATTGTGTTTCGCACTATCGGAAGAAACTTTTATCGGGCAATGTTTAATGTACATGTTTGTACTCTTCTGTTACTAAGCATGTTACCATAACAACGTATATTTCATCTGAATAGGCGAATACGGTACTGCACGTGCCGCGCCAATAATTGTCAAAGCAATTCCATTTTGTGACAGACGGTCAACAGTTAGCTGTGATTCCGTGGCATTCTTCAAGCCGTAACTGATTACTGCCGCAGGTAGCGTGTATTCGAGATCCCTAAGCACGCCATCAACGGCAGTAATTGGTCAAGGCTTGGACTCTATTATCACCGACAACTGACTGTTATCGTTCTTTTCACTTATCTGGCGTTTTCATGGTGGAGAATGGAGAGAAGCAAAAATACAGATGACTACATAATAACAATAATGTGGAAAACGTAAACACAAAATTAATGTCAATAAATATTTATATTTTATTCAGGTTATACTAATATTTGATGTATATTTTTGCGAGTGTACATCGGATGCACTTAAATTATACTACACCCATTAAATGCAAAGTCAACGAAAATATATCCGATTGGTGATGGGTAATAAAGGTCTATAGAATTATTATCTAATTTTCGCGAATGTGATTGATCGCGCAAATTGTCCATCGCAAATTGTCTGGTGTATTCATAACAAATAGTGTGATTATTGGTAGTGACTTTGCTGTATCAATGTAAGCAATGAACACGAAATATTAGTTTGTTGTTTGTTTATATATTTATTCATATGCCAAGTCTGATGGTATGTTCGTTTATGTTTCTGTTCTGCAATAAATTATACATATTCCCACTGGTTGTAAAAACAAAGAGACAGTAGAATTGTATCTGTCTTACACAGTTATTAAAACGACACTATTATACAGTTTTTTCAAAGGTTTTGCATAACATCACAATATACCATTTTTTTCACGGCACCGGACGTCGCGTCGCGGCACGGCACGACACCGCACAGTACAGTACAGTACAGTACAGTACAGTACAGTACAGTGCAGCACAACACAGCACCGCAGTTTTAACCCATACTACCGAATGTATAAATGAGAACACACCATGCATGTACATTGGGTGTACACACGTGAATATATTTGTTTTATAATTTAATTTATTTTTATGTATTCAAATCAATATTTGCCAAAATACTGTTTTACGAGACTGTACGCCATGGTGTCAGGTGTTGTCAATATATATGTTGGCACTCATACATTAAAAACGAGGTTCGATACACACTACAATAACATAAAATATTATTTCAAGTGGCTTTATGCACGACTACACTCTCTGGCTGTTTTTTGTCATTACAATAATAACTTCAAACAATATAAATCGTGATAGGAAATTTTGACTTCTTACAGTTTTAAGGAACATAAATAAATATATGGCTATATTTACAAGTTCAGAAACATCTTTAGTATAAAAGTAGTTACAGTTCGGGGGAACAAAATACAAATTAATAATAAGGTTCAAGGCACTGTAGGGTAACTGAATTTTGAAGAATTTACGATTTATCATAAAAAGGGACGTTTTAGAAGATGGATTCATGTAATGTCCGAAAAAAAAGGAAAGTTAACTTTCATCTTTGTCACAAAGTGGTACATTTTGAAGAAGGGAAATGGACTAGACATTTCTATTGATAGTCAAGCTGAATTTATACCTCCAAGCTCAGACGTGTAGGGGGTTATACACCCTACAGATCACATGATATCTCAAGAATTTGATTACTGTAAAACAATAAAAGCAATTAGCGTCAGCAGCATTAATTGTACGTGTACAAACCCGTGACAGTGACAAAGTCAGTAACAATGTATCTTTCGAATGACTGTGGATGTAGTAAATGGGCGCGCCAGACTCGGGAAGTAGAAACTGTACCACCGGATCAAATTTAGGGTGTATTTTACATAAAGTCATTTAATATTTTATAATCACATATACATGTACAGTGTAACAACCGTGCATATAAACTAGTGATAGTTAGCAATTAGGTTATTAAACGACCAATATATGGTTTGCGACAGCCTGTCATAATGTGCTACCATGTTAGAATTACGTACCATCCACACATCATCAAAAACTGTGGCGAAGATGGCAGTACTTCGTAGATTTCGTGAACGAGTTCACGGAATGTTCTATGTGTTTCTCGCGTTCTTAGTTGCTACTTGCGTGATACTTGTTGTTTACGAACATTCGCCTCCAGATGAGACAAACCAATCACCGATACGGCGGCGCTGGGAGCCTCGGTATCATTTCGGGATTGCTGACAATGCACGAAAGTTTGGTGCAGGAAGGGACGTGCTCGGACTTCGCGAACGAAAATATGCAGTTTCAGGCGATGGTAATAATTACGATGAGATTGGTGTATTGCCACAGACTGGGATGTTGCAGCTAGTGCCATCACTACAAGATACTATGCATAAAGTGTTCATTGGTCCATACCAGGAAGACTCTTACAACCCACACGAAATAATGTACTTGATACAGCATCCCGACGCATGTCGACTACGCCATGGTACTTTGACTGAAATCGACTTGCTTATAAACGTAATTTCAACGCCAGACAACAGAGGGTCGTTCTATCGAAACTTTATTCGTCGAACATGGGCAAGCGCAAAGTTTAGACGAGACATGTCCATCACTGTGGCCATTGTATTCTTCATGGGCAAGTCAACAACTATTCCTCTATCGTTTGATAAACTGTATTTGGAAGATAGAAAACACAAAGATCTCATCGTGGAAGATTTTGAAGATACAGAGTATAACGCCACGCTAAAGGAAGTAATGGCTTTGAAATGGGCAGTCAATTATTGTCCGTATGCCAAGTACGTCATTAAAGTCAAAGACAACACTTTCCTTCAATTTGACAACGCGTGGAGGCACTTGCAAAAGTTGCCACAAACAAGCGTTATGATTGGACAATGCTTTTCTTGGCGCAGACCAGTGAGGAACCCGTCGAAACCAATGTACGTTCCACCCGAAGACTGGCGAGATCAGTATTACCCACCCTACTGTTCGGCGTCCGGATATGTGATGTCTATGGATGTGGTCAAGAAAGTCTATGAAACATCCCTTCATACAAAACTTTTCCGATTTGAGGATGTCTATGTTGGTATTTTGCTTAATCGTCTTGACATAAAGCCTAGAAACTTCACGGCTTTTCGCCCAGAGTTCGTGACCTTCTACGCTTGTGACATGAGAAATCTGATAACATCGCACCAAAATTTTCCTGCTTACGACGTACTCAATTCTACCGGGGACGGGACTTCCTTGTACATGCGAAATCTATGGGCGGACCTGGTGCGTGTTCGGCAGGGCAGCATGGGGTGTCCACAGGAGCGGGATGGGTACGGACATGTAATACTCATGGATATCAAGAATGATACTGGATTGATTGACTGGAGAAAATTAGGAAGACTAAATATTGATAGAGTGGATTGACTGATTGGGAAGGGTATCCGTCATACCAATAACTTGAGATTTCCATTGAAACTGACACATTCGTTATGAATTCATCATCGCCAGCTGTGACGGGCTTTTAATCCTTCTAGAAACATTTAAAGGTCGTTTGGAACCCAATGCGTCATGACGATCACCACCCTTTAACAAAAAATGCATCTACTACCCCTTTTAGAGGAGAGTTATAACGAAAAAGGCACACGATGTCCGATTCCATTTCAAATATGGATAACTTAATACTTGTTTAAATAATCTTGTTTGACATTACGTCTTAATAAAAAACAATGAGGTACGTTATCTGAATTGATAAAAACGCTAATGTGTCTAACGAATATTTGTCAAAACCTAAATTGTTTTCAAACCAAATTATTAAATACACATTGCCTCATTGCGTTTTCCAATACGCATTTATACTGTGTTTCCTCAAGTGTGTAAAACAAATGCATATATTATTTTTTCGGAGGAGAGGGATTACAAACGTAACGCGACATAAGTTACCCGATTCCATTTATTAGAGGGATTATCCCTCTCCTTACAACTAAGCACACTAACCGCTGTAAAAGCGATTTGCCGGTGACCAGCTTGGCATGAGCTGCCGTATTGGCGTAATTTAGTGAAGGAGAGAATTGTTGTTTCTTACACTGGTCACATTGGTTTATTTGCACCACAGTCCCCCTATAGAGTGACTGTATTTGCACTATATTATTATAAAACGTAATGCATATAACACTCGGAATGTTACGATAATCCGTACTGTCCTTTCTCTTTTACAGACATCACCAGGCATAAGGACGCGTGACACAGTCATTGGTGGTGCGTGACTGGAAACAATCAAATGTTTGAAATTTTACAATTATCATTATATTTAAAGTTCCATGCGTAATAATGTGGACTGAAGCTGCAGCAATTACCATTGGATGGGACGTGTCTAATCACCAATAAAAACAATGCTAGCATAACAACAGCTTGAATTTAGAGTAGTCGTGTCGCTGTTCCTTCTAACACGAGTACCCCTCTAATTACAATGTATTTTCACTAATTATAGCGATTCTCATGTACAGTACCCGAGGGAGAATGTTTATATTGAATAGCCGCCTGGCAAAATACATGTGTTAGCAAATATACTGGCACAGTTTTATAGGATATTGGAAACATCGCGCGCATTGAAACGATACTGCTCATGAACATAGTTGTCATGGAAATTGGATATAATTCTAGCCCAAAGCAGCAGTGACAGAGACTTGGACAGCAAGTCCACAATTGACTATAACAAATGGCAAAAAGGCGGCATTTGAGAGGGAACAGGACTGCGGGAAATTTATTTCTTTCGGTGGTCCTGGTAACCTTCGTAGCATGGTTTGGGTTTACCGTGTATTATATTGACACTACACCGCCACCACATCAGCAACGTGATGATCGCGACCATCATACATTCGTCTTGTACTCTAGAGATGTAAATAAGACGACAGAGGCTTTGGAACACGACGCGCAAGCGATAACAAGGCCCCAAGAAAAGCAGTCTGGATACACAATGAAGTTCTTACTAAATAACAGAAATCTTTGCAGAAATCACGATGGTTCGCAAAGCGACGTTGAGCTGCTGATTGTCATCTCGTCTCGCCAAAAGAATGTTCTGAATCGACGGTTCATACGCCGCTATTGGGCAAATCTAAGGAATTATTCTAAAGTCCTCGCTCGGAAAGTGGTGACCGTGTTTTTGTTCGGGGTTACACCAGACTCTTACCGGAAGCTATACATAGAGAATGACAAATTTGGTGACGTTTTAATGGCAGATTTCTTGGACACGTATAATAATTTGACGCTGAAAACAATCATGGGAATTCAATGGGCCACACAATATTGTCCGTCTGCTAGATTTGTCATGAAATCAGACGATGACGTATTGATACAACCTTTAAATGCACTCAGACATCTGCGCACGCAGTCAGAAAGCGACCTTATGATTGGCCGATGTGGTAGAACGAGTCGGCCTGTCAGAGAAACGAAAAGTCCAAACTACGTCTCGTACGAAGAGTGGTCCGATCATACTTTCCCACCGTATTGTTCAGGTAGTAGTTATATCATGTCGTCCGACCTTGTTCGAAAGCTGTCTTCGCTTTCCAAAGTAGAAACAAGTTTCAAATTTGAAGATGTGTACATAGGGATTCTCCTCCAAAAACTCGGAATTGACCCGTTAAACCACCCCGCATTTGCACCAGAATATATCAATCTGAACTCTGCATGCGATATTCGCCACCTGATAGCTTCCCATCATGCCTGGACCCGGTATATGTACGACGGCATTACAAACATCGACTACACACTGTCCAGTATCAAAGAACTATGGGTCAAATTAATTCAGATTCGTAAAGGTAAAATCAGCTGTCCTCCAGACACAGATGGATTTGGTCACAAAATTGATGCATCGTTCCAGTTCGATGAAATGCTGGAGGAAGAATTTGGCTCTAATTTAACAAATAGTTTGTAGCCATACTATAATCGTTGTTACTCGTATACTAATCAGATATATACTCAGGCAATTATGCAATAACTTCAATGTAAACATGAACCAGAAATTCTGCATCTGCCCTTGGTAGAAGAACGCAAATACTTATTACTGGTAATTGTAGTCGCGAGTATTACATCTATCATCGTATCGGCTATCAGATATTGGAGTGACCTTCAGATTACATAAACAATACTCTACAATTGTATATGTACATCGCTAAGCAATGTGCGCTGCTTCTAATTAAAAATGCGCATATATATTTTTCTTAATAATGAAATGCTTCGATCATGAGTGGCTATACACTACGTGTAGCTCGAAGTTTAGTTTTAGGTGGGGTTTGATATGCATACAAATTATAACATACACAATGTATTATACAAATTGTTTGACAATTCTTGTAGTCTTGTATCTGAATTAATTCATGTCAAGGGGCTACTGAATCTTACTCGTGCCCAATAATTGGGTTTGTTGAGTATCGGACAATAATGAAACAAGACACCGAATGCAGTTGTTTCTACAATTAATTACCTCTTTGTATTTTCACTTGTGACCATTTTATTCATATATCGACTGTTATTAATTATACATCTGTGTACATTGATATGTATGATAAAGTTGATGGGTTACCACCGCGTCCCGTGACGCACCTTCTTTGAACGCGACCGGACAATGCGACATCGTTCGTGCCGGTCACATTTTATACTTATATCCGTCATATATCGTATATACAATCATATTCCATATATGTCATTACTGTGTAGTAAGTTTTCATATAAAATTAAGACCAAATATAGTTGTTCGTCTTCCCTGCCTGCCATGGGGATTCCCGACGCGTACGTTCGGTTGCTGGTCCACATGTGTACTACCGGAATTCGAGTATCCAATACTACGACGAAATCCCATGGGAGCGCCGAGGGGGAATTTCATCACATTTTGCCCTCCAAGACGGCCAATGCTATAGCAAAAAGCTAGTATCCCCAGCAACGCGAAAACAATAGTTGCAAATATGCCAAAGACAATTGCACTCTCTACGACTGACGTAATGGGGTCGTTAATGTCCTGTACGAGTTTGTGAATAATGTGCATGACACCGAGTTCGTATTCCCCTTGTAAGAAATGAAATCGAGTGCTGATACAGATACCACCAGATTCACTCATTGTCAGTTCGTACCTCGCCGCTATCCCAGTTGACATGACAACCTGTAGAGTATACAATAAACACATTTGAATTATAAAGTATAAATGTACGACGATTTGCAACCACCTTATGCTCTACTGCTAAAACTTATTTCTGTGATTTTTAGTAATACAAAACAGTTATTTGACGTGTTCAAAGTCACAGCAACGATGTCCGAATAGTAGTCTGAATAAGAGATGGACGTCCGCGTCAAATAAGTTTAAACATCGAACATCACTTGGATAATTTTAGTGTTGAGCTGCAATTGGTGAAAATTGTATCATGCAAATATTATGCAAATTAGATTAAAGCGTTTATGAATTCATTATTTTTGCACACACCTGGCTGTTTTGCTGAACAATGAGAACAAGAACATTGTCATCACATCCGATGTCGCGAAACCAGTCACGTCGAACTGATTTGGTGAAACTATTCATCGCCTTCTCATCGGAATCAAAAGACCTGATGATAATAATTAACAGAAGAATATTATGAAACATAAATACACAATGCTATCTGCAAATAATTTCACAACAAGCCTGGCAAATGCCAACCATTTTCTCGATCTGATATTTGAAAACATCTACTGCAACACTAAACCTTGTTTTGGTAGGTCATTTCAATGAATTCACGTGGCGAATTTAGTATATTTAAATAATTTTGTTTGAACGTGCACAGTAAAATAAAACTGCCATAGCATTATTGGTTCGACAGGGATCCGTGTTGTTTGAATGACCTGTTACGCATGCGCATTTGCGTTTGACATTATGTTAGGCATTTTTTTTTTTTTGCGTTTGACGTTATTTAATGATAGAACCATAGACCTTGGGTGTACGGTCTACGATCGAATGAATGCTTCTATGTTGCTTTTATTTCACAACAAATTGCATTTTCTTGTTCCCATCGAAATAAATATAATTATTTAAACATGCTCAGATATTTATCAGTATTACGGCTTTAATATGTAGTATAGTTTTCAAAATTCGAATCACGATGATGCTTTGACTAATGACCCTCAAGCTGTTGCTATAACCCTGGTTCGAGGAATAGTTTAGCAGAAATTCATAACTGCACCCATCTTTAAAATTCAATTTTCTACAACTTGTTAAACATTGCTCATTTCCCCGGTAAGGCCAAAAAAGGTCTTGCTTCTCTTTGAAACATGCTCCCGCGGCATTTTTTTCCCTGTAATTTTGCGTACCGGTTAAGTGCGCCACATACGATAGAATAAGAAAATGTTTGTTTTCTGGTTTACAGGATTTTTATTGCATGCATTTGAAAGCAGCATTTATTTAAACCATAACACACATGTTGTTGCTGTACCATTAAGTAATTTTAATTCCAATCAAATAAATAAATAAATAAAAACACGTCATCGCATCATTTTTTTCAAATATTCCTGGGATGATAAAACCTTGTTTCGGCCTTTGGATCGTATTTGAAAGAACGCCATCACACGACTAACCTGAGATAGGATTTTGGTAAAGCTCGTACGAGCACTACTCCAATACGAAAACCACCCCATCCAGAACAACGTAAGGTGTTACTACAGATGCACGGCGTTGTATTGTGGGCAATCATCAAAGCATCATCTATTTTATCAGCTGTGGAGAGAATACAAATACATAGATTAATTATTGAATACGGTAAATTATATACAATCCGTTAATAGAGTGAACATTACGCTTACGCTGAAATGTGTGCACAACACCGTCCTCAACAGATTGTCTACTTCTAAGATAAATATCCTTATTTATTTACTTTATCGAAATGACAATCCTAGAAAGAAATCGCGCCCTCAATGCTGGTTGTTCCTGTCATTGTATGACTAGTATCAAGCTGCGTGAAAACAAACTTCTGTTGGCACTGAAATCAAAGACGTCTTTTCTAATGTCTTTGCTGAAATCAACACCGCTTTTAGCAGATGATCACGTGTCCGACCTAGACGTCTGTAGCATACCACTTCCGCTTGAGAAGTGTCATTAATATTAATTATATATAGTTATCAAGGGGCGAAATTATGAATATATATTGTCCGGTCATCACACTTCAGTAATTATAATATGGTTGTTGTCAAATATTTGCAGTAAAAGTAAAGTATATTATGTTCAAAAATGTTTTGCTTGCATTTGAAGCTTATATTTATTTGTTATGTTATATGGTTAAGCAGTTGATTGGTTCGTTTTTTGTTCTACTCATTGACATATATCCAATAGGAATCATGAAGTAGTTTATACTGGTGTATATTAATTTATTGGCACGACACTGACTTAAAACATAGTAAAAATATTAGAGCAATATGGTCTACGCTCAATTACAAATAAAAAATAAATAAATAAGTAAGTAAAATAATGTATTGGTAATTTTTGTTTTTAAACTCAGGAAACTCATTTTATTAAAGAATGTCTCCCTATATTTCTACAGTTCATGATATAATGTGCTTAATCGCAAACTTCATTCAAGTCACATAACTTACAATCGCCGATGTCATGGTAAATTATAGTAACGTCGTCGCTCAATTGGAAATCCGGACCGCTAGTTTGTAACTACGACACATTTATCAATATCTTATTTCCAACCAACTGTTATTTATGTTTTCAATTTATAACCCTTCCAAATGATTTATTGCAGTGAGCAGGAGACTCTGTGAGTATTAAACAGCTATCCATGGTTCAAAGATGGTGTCATTCCGGTTCATTGATAAACAGGTGTATGGACACCCCTGTCGTGTTTAGGTATTTATCATTAGAACGTAATGCATCTATAAAAAGGGTTACTATGGTCTGTACGTTGCCAACACTGTGACCGATAGAAAGTAGAATTCAAATGTCTTAGGAATGTTAGTCGCGCCATGATTTATGACTTCCAACTCAACATACAAAATATGATGTAATATTTCCAATAGTTTCGGTCGACACAATATTTTGATATAATTTGACACAAATACTCAACTAGTCTATGACATCATTGCTATATTATTGACTTACTTGGCATCAACAGTGTAAATTATCACTCGTTTGTAGACCACGGGGATCGTACAATGTCCCAGTTCAGAAATACTATAGTCTATACTAACGTGATCATTTCGGTATAGAAGTTATTAAATGTAACTTTAACAGTTAACTTTGTCATTCGCCATATTCTTCAATATATACAATTTATATTTTATATTCCGCGCAAATATCATTACATGTACAATTAACACTACGCGTGTGAGTGATTTCATTTTCAGATGTTCAAATATCAAAGAATTATTGACAAATATCCAGATAAATATAATTATCGAGTCCCGCTGACAGAACTATTAATGAAAACATATAGACAATCAAACATGTACTATATTATTATTATTATTATTATTATTATTATTATTATTATTTTATTATTATTATTAAAACTAGTTAAAGTTAAGAGTTAAAACTACAAAGTGTAAAATTAGACCACAAAAATGCACAATATGGAATATCACAAAATACAGAAAATAAAGGACATTTAACAGCTAAAGACGCAAATTTAAAATCGCGAAAAATCGCGAATAATCATCGCGTTGCCTCTCACATAAAAGAGACGAGATTTGGCCTGAATGTCAACATTGTCATTAAGGTCACGAGTGATCAAGTGTCCCAGATATTTATATACAGTGACGTAATAAAGTAGTCTACCACTTAAATAAATTGACACATTCCTTAACCTTCGAAAACGAGGCTGAATTATCATACATACGGTTTTTTTCTCATTAAAAAAGATAGAGTTAAGTTTGCCATACCGTCCGCAAGTATCAACTAGTAATTGTTGACCATAC